ACCGCCAACTCTTGGGCTACTCTTTTACCAACGAATAGTGGGATTGACCGTCACATTATAACGCCCCCACGGCTGAAAGGGCGAGCATGTTTGGTGGGGATTCGAACCCGCGACCCTCATATTGCGAGTCGAGCGCCCTAACCACCTGGCCATGCCGGGCCCTCACAACTGAACAGTTCTGAGTTTAACAGTTAACTTATGTGTTATTTGGGAGGAATAAGACGTATGTTCAATGTCCTTCGGTTTACCTGAAAGTTCTCGAACAATCAGATTAAAATGAAGATAAACAACTGTTTTTAATATGTGTAACAGCAGAACAAAAACACCTTTCGACGCTAAAACACTGGGTTTCGATGCCCGTGGTGGGCAGAGCGCGCACAGCCTTTTTGTGCAGCTTTGTGCTTAACAATAACTAAACCACTTAAACCACAATTAGTTTATTTGACAAACACACATTCTATTCAGACAAAATTGGATAAATGATAATAACGAATAAATTGACACGCCTAAATGAAAACATTTTATAATTTTCATATCGAAGTGTCAATTTATTGGTTATTATCATTTATCTAAGTTTTTTCTTTTCACGTCTTGCGGAACAATACTCATCCAAGAATTGTATTCATACACCTGCGTATGGTTGAAACAATTTTTACCGATTCAGATTTAACCATAACAATATAATAAATCTTTAACGCACATATAGTTTGCTCATTCATGTGATAAACAAATTTATGCTCCTTCTTAACGCATATATAGCAAGTTAATTCACGTAATAAATATATTTATGCCAGCTGAATCACAAACTAAATATGTTAACTCACGTATAACCAGTTAATGTACATGCTAAATAGATTTATATCTACTAAATCACGTGCTAAATAGAATCATACATACTGTTAACTCATGTATAACTAGCTAATGTACGTGCTAAATAGACTTATGTCTACTATATCACGTGCTACATAGAATTATACATACTGCTAACTCATGTATAACTAGCTAATGTACGTGCTAAATAGATTTATCTCTACTAAATCACGTGCTAAATAGAATCATACATACTGTTAACTCAAGTATAACTAGCAAATTTACGTGCTAAATAGATTTATATCTACTAAATCACGCGCTAAATAGAATTATATATACTGTTAACTCACGTATAACTAGCTAATGCACGTGCTAAATAGATTTATATCTACTGAATCACGTGCTAAATAGAATTATACATACTGCTAACTCATGTATAACTAGCTAATGTACGTGCTAAATAGATTTATGTCTACTAAATCATGTGCTAAATAGAATCATACATACTGTTAACTCACGTACAACTAGTTAATGTACGTGCTAAATAGATTTATGTCTACTAAATCATGTGCTAAATAGAATCATACATACTGTTAACTCACGTACAACTAGTTAATTTACGTGCTAAATAGAATTATATATACTGTTAACTCACGTATAACTAGCTAATGTACGTGCTAAATAGATTTATATCTACTGAATCACGTGCTAAATAGAATTATACATAATGTTAACTCACGTATAACTAGCTAATGTACGTGCTAAATATATTTATATCAACTAAATCACGTACTGAATAGAATTATACATACTGTTAAGTTTTAACTCACGTACAACTAGCTAATGTACGTGCTAAATAGATTTATGTCTACTAAATCACGTGCTAAATAGAATTATACATACTGTTAACCCACGTATAACTAGCTAATTTACGTGCTAAATAGACTTATATCTACTAAATCACGTGATAAATAGAATTATACATACTGTTAACTCTCATATAACTAGCTAATTTACGTGCTTATATCTACTAAATCACGTGCTAAATAGAATTATACATACTGTTAATTCACGTATGACTGCCCCCAGTGGTACAGCGGTATGTCTGCGGACTTACAACGCTAGAATCCGGATTTTGATACCCGTGGTGGGCAGAGCACAGATAGCCCAATGTGTAGCTTTGTGCGTAATTACAAACACACAAACAAACACGTATAACTAACTAATGTACGTACTAAATAGATTTATATCTTCTAAATCACGTGCTAAATAGAATTATACATTCTGTTAACTCACGTATAACTAGCTAATGTACGTGCTAAATAGATTTATGCTTATTGCTAACGCCTGCATACAGAGGAGATTCTGTTTTATAGTGCCTGTCTGTATAGTTAGCTTATTCCCTTAATAAATATTATCACGCTTGCAGAATTATGCTCATTGTTAATTTGAATATAGATAGCTAATTCAGGAGATAAACAGACTTAAGCATACTGTTAACGCACATATGGATTCAGTACAAATACAGGCTTAGTAACATATGCCACCTCACATGTTGTGTGTACGTTCGTTTGTTTGTAGTTAAGCACAAAGCTACACAGTGGGCTATCTGTGCTGTGCTTACCACAGATATCGAAACCCGGTTTCTAGCGTTGTTGGTTCGCAGACATACCGTTGTGCTACTGGGGGGCGTCATAAGTTCGCAACGCTCGTATTAGCTTATTTACCTTCATCAGTGATTACGCTTACCGCAATGACGTCAACTCAAAACGTCCCGATTATCTTAATATGATTTGTCCGCTGGTATCAAACATGCTACACTAAATTCCAAACAAACCGAGATTCTTTAAATAGGATTTAAATATGATGCATAGAATAAACTTCGGTATATATATATATATATATATTTTATAACAAATGTATTTGAAGGGTCAGAATTTTTACAGTTTAATTTTTATATGTTATGCGTGTTGTATATATATATTCAAGAGCTTTTCAAAAACGACAAACACTTATGTTAAAATGTTTTATTACTTACTTAGCTGCAAGTTTAGTCCCCTAGTGGCACAGCGGTATGTCTGCGGACTTATATCACCAGAAACCGGGGTTCGATACCCGTGGTGGGCAGATCACAGATAGCCCTTTGTGTAGCTTTGCGCTTAACGACAGTAATTTAAGACAACTGCACGTTTAAATTTGGTTATATTGGCCGCCAGATGACTTTACTGCCTAAAACAAATTTAATCGATACAAATGGCGTATGCAGCCATATGTGAATTTTTAAAGGATTATTGTGAATGACATTGTAAGCATTTTGTTGTAAATATCAGTTGGATAAGAGTTTAAAATCAAAGGAAAGACTAAAAAACCCTAAGAATTAATGTTTCACGACAGTAGTATAATGAAAAAAAAAATACCAATGCTACTGTCATGCCGTTTCCTGTGCTCGCCATGTTATTACTAATACACGAAAAATTAAAAATCGAAGAACCGAGGCCTGCGATAAATTGATATAAATTCCTATATGCATGGCAGTAATATTATATGTAATATGCATACAAATATTCATGCGTAATTTGTCAAATACTAACTTGCTTATTATGTTGCCTATATTTATTTCAACAGGATTCCTATAGAATCCACTTATATCAATAAGATTGGTTGGTAAATGTGATCCACTTCCTATATCTACGATAGACCGTCACGTATCACGCAAGTAGGTCCAGGATTTCAAGAACCAAGTCTTGGCGTAAGCATACGTGTTTTAGACTATAAGGTTGTTTTCAATATGGCAACCGTTGAGATATTTTCGCGGGTAAGTTGCTTCTACTTTGAGGATCTTATTCTTAATAATTTTGTAGGTGTTTGTATTGCTTTAATATATACAAGGTTACTTATTGGAAGACAAATGGAAGTCAATTCCAGTCATTGCATTTTTCGTTTCATATCAACGTTTAGAATGGAAAAAACAAGGTACTTTTGCTTACCGGCTGGTAAGGTACTTTTGTCAATAGCTAAGTTTAGTTGTAGGCTTACTCCATTTCTCTGGTTCCCGCCTGCCCTCTGCCGTTGCAAGTTGCTAGCCGTTAAGACTTGAATATATATAGGCGCGTGGTTCAATTTTCAATTTAGTTTTGTTTCGTCGTTATAAGTTTTAGTTTAGCATAGCCATTTTTTTTTTCGTGTGATAATTTGTAACGAAATTGACTTATTTCTAGTTTTAAGTTAATCATGTGCAAGGCAGAATAATGAATACCTTTAGATCAACTACTAAGTAGTAAGTTATTTTTATTAATTAAAATTTCAAATTACTTAAATATATAAAATTAAAAATGTCGCATATCAAATAGTGTTGTTAGTCGTAATTAGGGTCAGAAAATTAAAACCTCGAGACTGGTGTTTTAGATTGTGCATGTTTTATTGTTTAATAGAAGTTAATGGTTGAGTACTTGATTATTCAATTTGTGAATTTTTGTGTAGCCATTTCAATTAAATTGAAACCTAGCATTGATAATTTATAATACTTTGAAACTAAAGGTCTATATAATATATATTTATGATGAAAAATTATTTTTCTCAAAATAAGAGATGAATTGTGGAATTTAGTGGATTGGAATTTGAATTTAGTATAATTAAATCATATGTAGTTTTGAATTTGAATGTGGGTTCCAGAAAAGGCAGAATTATCCATGTTTGGTTCTTGATAGTTGGATAGTTACACTAAATATTTAATATGCTAAAATTAAGATATTTAGTAATAATAGATAAGCCTACAACATATATTTTTGGAATCCTTTCTAATTGTTTACAATAGTTTTATGAAAAAGCAAATTGCTTTTAGCTTTCTTATGTTAGAGACAACTTAGAATTGACTACATCTTAGGTTAAGAGTTGTTGACAGATGGGTTGATAATGTGAATATCTTCATAAGGAACTGAAAAAAAAGAGATTTACAATTACAGACATGGTGGTGCCCAGCTTGGGAATAAGCAGATTGATTGGATAGCTAAGGCAATGAGGAGTTTTAATTATTTTATGCATAAGATAAATAAATAATAGTATTAAAGATAAGTAAATTTTAAAGATAAACATAATAGATTCAAGAAAAAGCTTAGTTGCTATTATTATAATGTAAGGAGTATTAGGAACAAAATGAATGAGTTAAGAATTTTTGTTCAAATTGAAGACAATGATCTAATGGTAGTTCTGAAACTTAGTCATATTTGGAGAACTACCATTAGATCATGGTCTTCAATAGAAATTATTTTTAATATTTAATGACTTTGTATAAGGCAACTATAGCCTATTAGGATTGAAAATATAAAAACAATGATAGTCAAAAGGTTGAGTCTTTCTGGGTTATGTTCAGGAGTTTCAAGACTGGAAAGCTTTTAAATTTAATTTACAGTTGTTTTATAGGCCAACTGATCAGACAGAAGATGTCAATGAGAAACTGTAAGAGATCAGGGTTACTTCTAATAAGAATACTGCTGCAAAATTATGGGAAATTTTAATTTTAGTCATATTGATTAGGAATGTATTGAGTCAAACAGCGAGGGAGAGAGATTTCTTTAGGTGATTATGTTTTTCTGTAACAAGTGGTCAGAGAGCCAACTAAGGGGAATGCCATTTTAAATTTATTTATTAACCACTAATGAGGATATAGGTGAAAGGCTTGAAGTGTAGGAACATTTAGGAAAGGGTGAGCAATGCATAATGAGGTTTTACTGCATGATGAGATAAAGATAAATGGAATCTTATTACCTAATTTTCAGAAAGTTAGTTTTGAGGCTATGAGACAAGATTTGTCATTCATGAATTGGGAAAACAAGTTAAAAGATGGTGACAGATATATGAAATTAAAAAAAAAAAGCTTTTAATTCTAGATAGGCATGTTTCTAAAAAAAGAGGAAAAGACTAACAGGAAAGAACAAACCTAATTGGTTTACTAAGGATATAAAGGATAAAATTGGTAATAAATGCCATAAGGTGAAGAAGTCTAAATTGTCATATAGGTTGAAAAATTTCCAGAACTTTTGGAAGAACAGGGATTTTATTAAAAAAGAAATTAGGAAATCTAAAAGGGATTAGGAGAAATAACTGTCTGATAGAGTTAGAATGGGGATTGGGCTTGTAAAGGATGCTAATGGCAAGGTTTTTGTTGAAGACTATGAGATACAAGGAAGATATTACAATATTCCTGACCCTGAGCATTCTATGTGAAATGTTGGAGTTGACCAGCGTCATGTAGATATCAATCCCTTAGTGGTAAGTAGGAAAGTTGAGAGGTTAAAAATAGATCAAGTATCAAGGCCAGGTAAGGTTTTCCCTAGGGTTTAAAAAGAAGTCAAAGATCAGATATGTGAGTCTTTATCTTTCATTTTTGGTAGGTTAATAGAATGTGGGCAAGTGCCTGAGGATTGGAGAATTACTTGTGTTACTCCTATTTGTTAAAGGGGGATAAGAGATTATAGATCATTTAGTCTTACTACTGTTGTGGAAACATTCTAGATCTAGAGAGATAAAAGAAGCTTTACAGAATTCTTCAGTGAAATATGATATCTCAAATGGGCATATGCAAGCCTATGGAAAGCAAATAACTAAGAGATGTTTCATTGTCTCCTATTATCCAGCACATGAAGTTTATTTATGTGATGATTGCTGACCACAAAAGGACACATGAAATACAAGGGATCATCTTGCAACATTTTCCATATTAACATAACATTAAAGAAGGGATCTTTTGGTCCATCTAGCCATCCCATCCAATAAATCAAACTAAACATTAAAATTCTCAAAGCCAGCCCTTATTATTCAAATATTTATCAACCTTTCCCTTAAATCAACTTCATCTACCACATCTGAAGGCAACTTGTTCCAAAGGCTAACTACCCTGTTAGAATAATAAAGGTTAGCTGAAGATTGTTCCTTCCCTGCCAAAATTTATGTGTCCCCTAGTCTTACCATTCTCACTATTAAGTAAGAAAAAAAGATTAGGTATCAACACTGCCAATTCCCTTAACAAATTGTAACACTTCAATCAGATCTTCTCTAACTCTTTTGTGTCTCAAATGGAAGAATACTTTTTTATACCTTGCACTTGCTTCTTCAAATGATAGCCAATATGGAGTCACCAAAGGTAAATCTTGCTTTACTGATGTGTTAACTTTTCCATAAGAACTCTTGATTAGGTGCTACACAAACAATTAGTCAGGAAAATCATATACATATGGGTTGGGCAAAGAATAGTTAATTTGATATTGGGTGGCTGGATGGGAGAAACCTAAATGTTATTAATGGAGTTCAGTCAAGCTGGACCCTTGTTAATAGTGGAGTTGCCTCGGGTCAGTGCTTGGGGCCTTTGTTTTTTAATATATATATATTAAAGAAAAGGGCATAATTAGTGAAGTTTTCTGATGACATTAAACATTTGGTATTTCTAGCTATGTTGAGGATGTTGAGATATTACAGAACAACTTGAATCAAGTTGTATTTGGTTTATAATTATTATTACATATTTAGTATGATAGGAACCAATTCACTAAGCACGACTGAAGAAAAGTGTCTTGTACAGTGGTGGCTAAGTTACTCAACCAACAATGCAAGTGCTTTGTTGGTAGTAGTAAAACTAACAGAATTTTAAGATGTACTTATAGACATATTGATTACAAGTCAGTATTGGAATACTGTGTGTAGTTTTGGTCTCCTTATTTAAGCAAGGATATTGGCTTATTGGAAAGATCTTGGAGGAGAGGCTACAAGGATAAATTGTGGGATGAAAGGGTTGTCTTACAAGTTAGATTAAGATCTCTTTATTTAACTTCTGTTGAGAGAAGGGTAAGGGGTGATCTTCTTTGAGTTTACAAGGTTGTTTAGAGGATTAATAGGATAAAGGGCTCTGATTTCTTTGTGCTGTATTCTGAAGATAAATAGGATGAGAGTACAGAAGTGGAAGATTTGGGAGAGATAGTTCAATTCCCAGTTGACAGCATATTTTGTTTTTTTTTTGAATTAGGTTATTGACTTATGGAATGACTTCCTAATGTTAGTAGTAGAGACAAGCACTTCACAGGAATTTAAGAGGGGAATAGATGATTTTCTAAAAAAATAAAGGGTGGGAGTAAATTTTTTACTTAAGGGCGGGTATTTAAGGATAACCTTAGGAGACCAAATTGTCTGTTTCATATCTCAAAAAATTTTCCAATTTATCAAGAAGCATTTTGTGAAACATTGTTTTAATGTTCTTAGATTACCAGAACATTGTTTTAAGATTAAGGAGTTAATTTTCTTTTTTGTACAAAATCTGATGAGGTCCCTTTTTTTAAGTCACTGTGTTTGGCTCTTATACTATACATGTGGGAAGCATATTGACTGGTAATTGGTACAGAGAATTATTGCAATAATACCTGGCTAAAAAAGTTTAATGAATGAAGAAAGGTTTAAAACTTGTTTTTCCTAAAGCTCAGAAGAAGTAGAGATGATTTGGTTTCAGAGTTTAAAACAGTTAGCAAACTGGAGTAAACTGACAAGAAGAATTGGTTGTGGGATATTGAAGATGGAAGTAGAAACTTAGGTGTTAGTTGTAATACCTCTATGCACTGGTTGACTAGATCTGGAATTACTCTCAGTCAAGGTTACTTTTCTGTTAAGAGTTATGATTTGTGGAGTGGTTTGCATGTTATGTACCATTGGTCTAAAATTGTTTGTTGGATAGATCAAAGGTGAAGGACTACATTTCATTTGGATTGATTTCTTTGGTTGATCAATTCACTGGGTGCTGTATGCAGTCATATTGCACTAAGATTTCTTGTTTTA